CAGGGTCCTGATAGGCTGCCCAGGTAGGACTCAAACTTGGGTTCTTCCTCCCTTAGGAAGTGCTGGAAGTACAGTCGTGAGTCTTTGTTTCTTTGTTTTTTGAGACTGGGTCTTGCTAGGTTGCCCAGAATAGCTTGAACTTGCAGTTCTCTATCTCAGCCTACCGAATAGCTGGTATTGCAGGTGTATACCACCACACCCAGCAACACATGGGCATTGTTTCTTTCCAGTACTGGGGATCGAACTCGGGACCTTGGGTTTGTGAGGCAGGTGCAGTGCCACTGAGCTAAATCCCTGGCCACATGGGCATTTTTGAAGAGGCCAGGCCAGTTGTCCCATGGAATGTTTCACAGTATTAATTTAATTATTTACTTTTGTTTAAATATATTTTTATTTTTAATTGACACATAATTGTACAAATTTATGGAATGTAGCATTATATTTCAGTGTATGTACATTATGATTAGATAAAGATAACTGGCATGTCTCTTTATGTATCCTTTCTTTGTGTTGGAAATTCTGAAAATCCTCTCTATGGTGCTGGACATGATGGCACATGCCTACTGTAATCCCAACATCCTGTACTCAGGAGACTGAGGAAGGAGGATCTCAAGTTCTGGGCCAGCCCAGCAATTTGGCAAGACTTGTCTCTTTTGCAGTCTGTTTAAGGACTACTTTTCATTTTCTTAATGATGTCATTTAAAGTTCTAAATTTTGATGGAATCTCATTTATTTTTTTCTTTTATACATGTTTTTTATATCCTAGGAAATTCTTATCTACCCTAAATTCATAAACATTTTCCCTTAAAATTTCTTCTTAAAGTTTTATAGTTTTAGTCTTTCATATTTAGGTTCATAGATCCTTTCAAGTTATTTTTATGTATGGAAATAAAGGGTTGAGATTAATTTTTTTTTTTTTGGTAGCGGGGATCGAACTCAGGTCCTTGCACTTGCACAGCAGGTGGTGAAACCACTGAGCTAAATCCCTGGCCCAAGATTAATTTTTTATATATGGATACCAGGTGTTCTAGTGCCATTTGCTGAAAACACTGTCTTTTCCTCTGCTCTTGAATTGAGTTTATGTTCTATAAATTGTTAATGTTGAATAATCTTTCAAAACTCAGTGGACCATATATGTGTGGTTCTATTTCTAGATTCTCTGTTTTATTCCAATGATCTGTATGTCTTTCCCTACACCAACACTGCCTTGATTACTGTAGGTTTAGAGGAAGTCTTAAAATTAGGTAATAAATGTCTTCCAACACTTTTTTGTTTTGTTTTGTTTTTTTACTTTTCTAGGTGCTTTGTACTCCTACATAACTTTTAAATTTCAATATCCAGTTCTTCATTTCTAGCAAGTACACATAGACCAGAATTGTTACATACCTTGTGTTTTTTAATCCTGCTAAATTCAAATACAAATTCTAGGGGCTCCTAGAGATTTCTTAGTATTTTCTCTGTAGATGATCATTTCATCTACATATAAAGATTTTGCT